CGGGTTACTATTTTGGGATAAAGTAATCCTGACATTGCGGCCAATCATCTGCAATTACTCTACAGAGTACGGGAGGCATTAAATGTGCATTTAATGCGCGTACTGTTCCTTTTCCGTTCAAGACTCCTAGTCGTTGAAGGAATCTTTCAGTTGGTTTCCCGGCTTGGTGAAATTCTTTTAAGTGTATGGCCTTCTGGTGTCTTTAGCAGAGGGTTGATCAGAGAAGGTCTTGAGCACTTCTGTTGAAGAAATATCCAACAGAGAACCAGGAGGGTTTCTGTCAGAGTAAGGGCTAACAGAGACCCTAAGGTATTCTGTTCTGAAGCAGAGAACCAAAGGTCTTCTGTTCAACCAAAGCCTTATAAGGGGTCCTCTGTCAGGGGGGTCTTCTGTTCTGGAGGCTTTCTGCTCTGGAGGCCTTCTGCCAGTCGATTATACTAAGAACTTTTACAAAGGAAAATTCTAATACATTAAAACTAAAGAGGGGTACTCTAAAGTCCTAATTAATATAGCATCATCAAAATCTAATTACAAATATTCCTTACAATTTCCCCCTTTTTGATGATGCCAAAACCCTTTAACTATTTCCAGAGAAGTGCCTTCACCATAAAGAATTAAAGTTTAAAACTTTCATTAAAATCTTGGTGGGCAACTTGACATAGGAAAATAGTAAGAGTACAGAACAATCAGATAGCAGATAATAAATCAAAGAGCAATCAAACAGAAACAAAAGAAAAGAGAGAGATTGAGGAATTGCCTAGAGGAGTAATACCTAGAGGAGTAATACCTAGAGGAGTCTTGTGGTTGTCGCAGTATTAAAATACAGTAGTATTAAACAAATCAACCAAAAAAATTCAAAGTAAAAATATACTCTGTAATAAAATCTACGCCCACGAAGATTGAATACAAACTTGGAGGAGTAAACAAAGACTACCTCAACACTTCAACAGTATTCGATCGAGAAGGAATACCTGGAGGAGTCTTCTGGTTGTCGCAGGCTCACAGCTCTGGAGAGGTCTTCTGGTTGTCGGCTACAGAAAGAGAAGAACGAACGATGATGAACGATCGCAGGCTCGCAGCTTTCTCCTCGTCGCAGCTCTGTAGATGAACGATCGATTTGTCTTTCTCTAAACGGACTCAACCCTAGTATTCGTAATCGCAGAGTTCAGACAAAAAAAAACTTTCGAAGTGTTGACTGGTCTATCGCTTTTTGTGAGAAGCGAAATAAAGCGACCGCTTTGTGAAGGTTACGCTTAAGGGAAAAGCAGAAGAAAGCGTGCGCTTTCTCACAGAGTCACGCAAATGGAAAGCGAAGCGCAGGTCCTTCACTAGCTTACGCTTTACGCTTTTTGACGCTTTCAATAAGTTTGGTTAGCCCAGTGTGAACGGCCAAAAGGGATGAGTGTGGGAACTTATTACGGAAAATTGAAAACTTTATGGGATGATTTGAATAAACTTGAACCCATACCTACCTGTAAATGCAGTGGTTGTACCTGCAATTTGCAGGGCCGGTCCCGAGAAAACGGAGGCCCTGTGCAACAATAAAATTTGGACCTTTTTTCAAGTTTAAACGCAAGCAAATTGTCTTACAATACAAGTTACTAATAAACGTAATAATTAAAATGAAAAACGTCATTAATAACTTACAGTTTATTTAAAAAGAGACATTCTTCGAGCATATTTAGATGCGAAGTCATCTACCAAACTTACAATGTCAATCTCTTCGAGTGTTTCAGATTCTATGGATATCAACGCCAATCCATTGAGTCTCTCTTGTGACATAGTTGACCGCAAGTAGGACTTCAACAACTTCAACTTGGAAAAACTTCGTTCTGCTGATGCCACTGTAATCGGAATGGTTAGCAAAACTCTGTACGCAATAAAGGCATTTGGAAAACAATTCATTTCTTTTAAAGAATTCAAAATTCTTGTTGCCCCTATCTTTTCCTTTGGCAAAATCTCTCTAAGCAACTTCAGCTCATTATACAAATCGTGGCCATCAACATCGCTGCATTGCCCATCCCTATGCAGTACTGTTTGTAAATGAGTGCAAGATGACTCCAAATCTAAATCCGTAAGAGATTGTAACTTCTCAGAATTGAACAAAAACCCAAACATATTTTCATATACTTTGTATTGCTCAAACCTCCGTGTCAATGAGCCAATAGATTGATCAACTATGTAGACAAAGTATTCCACTCTGAACAGCTCTTCTGGTGTTGATGTGGATGATACAGAAGATTCACCAACACTCTCATCAAATTGTTTTTTTCTGCGAATTACACGCTTCTGAGGAAACACTGGTTCAACTTCCAATTCACTGGCTATTTCTTTAGCCACATGCATAGCACTAGAAAAACCAGTTTCTCTATACTTCTCAAAAAAAGAAATTAGCCCTTTGACTTCAACAATAGCAACATCAAGAAGCATATCTTTTGCTTGTAGATTTTTGCTCACCAAATTAACAGCATATAATATTTCATACCAAATAACTGTAGCAAGCAAAAATTCAAAATTACAAAGATCATTTGTAGCTAAGGATCTAGCTTCACTTTGTATTTTAGAATCATTGTCTGTCTCGGCCAATTCTAGCAATGCTTCTCGAATGTCACTTATTTGAAATCTTATTGCTTTGACACTTTCCACACGACTTTCCCACCGAGTGGTTGATAAGGATTTTAGAGTCAATCCTTGGACATTGTTTTTTAAAATTTGCCATCTTTTTGTAGAATTAGCAAAGAGTGTGTAGATTCGTTGCACTACTCCAAAAAAATCTCTTGCTTTTCGAGAACAATTAATGTCACACAAGGTCAAATTAAGGCTATGACTACCGCAAGGAGTATAGAATGCCCTAGGATTTACATCCAAGAGTCTTTTTTGCACACCTTGATGCGTACCTCTCATGTTTGATCCATTATCATATCCTTGTCCTCTAACATTATCAATATCAAGATCAAGAGACTTTAACACACTTTGCAACACTTCAAAAAGGCCAAGTCCTGTCGTGTCATTCACAACCAAGAATTCCAAGAAAAATTCTTCTATTTTAATCGGATAAGAGGAGATATCAACACATCTTAATATCAAAGTCATTTGTTCTTGGTGACTCGAATCAGGAGTACAATCAAGTATGACAGAAAAATATTTAGATTCTTTGATTGTTTTAATGATCTTAGATTTTACTCCTGAAGCAAGCATCTCTATCAATTCATTTTGAATCTTGTGACTAAGATAATGATGATGAGTATCCTTATTGTCGACGCGACGAATAAGCTCTTGAATAACAGGATCAAATTCACCCAGCATCTCAATTAATCCTAAAAAAAATCCCATTATGATTCTGATTGAGCCGCTCATTCGTTCCACGAAAGGCCAAATTATGCTTAGCAAGATATTTCACAGTTGCAATCACCCTAAACAACAATTGCCTCCAAAACTCTTTTTCTTTCAAAAGTTGATCATGAGCTACTTTATCAATTGTCTCATTTTTTTGTAATCGAAGTCTCAACTCTACCCAACTCCTCATGTTACCCATATGCTCCACACCTGTTTCATGTTCTCTCAGTCTAGCACTAAGATGTCCCCAATCATCAAAACTCGTGTTAGCTAAAGAACCTTTGCCTACACCTTTTCTAAAAATCTTACAACAGAAGCAAAATACCCTATCAAGCTCCTTTGAATAAACAAGCCAGTCTCTATCACATTTCTCTCCATTAGGCAAACTTCTAGTGTAAAAAGCTGATGAGAATCTTCTAGAGAATTTATCTTTAGGTCCTTCCACAAAATTTAAATCTCTTTTAGGACCATTCTCTACCAAGGTGTCTGTCAACTTTGAATCTAGAGCATCCCAGTTTCTTGGATCATATATGTCAAATAAAGCAGAATTATTTGGCCTATCATCTAAAACATCAATTCTGTGGTCCTCTTTATCAGAATTCTCAGCCATTTCGTTAACACATTGATCAGGTATTTCAACATTATTTTCAACATTCACTTCTTGCTGTTCACCCTCTTGAACATCTCTAACTTCTTTAATAATAAACTTATCAAGAGCTCCTTTTTGAGATTGGGTTAACTCCTCAAGTCTTCTTTTCCTTTGACGCTTTTCATGACCGGATTGGTATTTATATGGAAACATAATTATTACCAATTATTGAAATTCTCCTATAATCTTGTACATGTTTATAAATTTTAAATTAATATTAAGTTTAAAATTAGGGTGAAAGCATGATTTACTTTAAATGCAAAAAATCAACAAATAACAACACAACAATTCAACAAACATTAAATCTGAAAATAAACAAATTACAAGATTTCAACAAACAATTCATCAATTCAAATATTCAATAAATTGAAATTTCACAAGAATTAGCAAATTAGCAACTAAATGAATAAAAATTATAAAAGAATTAGCATATTAGTAACTGACCGGAAGGACGGCGTCTGAGGAAGGCCGGAGGGCGGCGGAGCCGCGGAGCCGTGTCGGACTGGCGGGACTGCGCGCAGTTGAAGGACAGAAGGAGTCGTGGTCCTCGACTCCTGGCGGACGGCAAGGCGGCGTGGGCCGCGTGGCGGACCTGCGGGCGGCGGTGTCCCCTGACGGCTTGACTCGGTGTCTCGGTGACGGACAGACGCCGGACGGACCTGCTTTGGCCTTTGTCGTGAACGACGGGAACTCGCCACTCGGGAAGACGCGAAATAAGGAAGACGGAGTGACGGGCCAGGGGAATTGAGGATTTTGAGGGCTGGGAATTGATTTGGGCTAAAATTAAAATTTTTGGGCTGGGTAATATTAAATTTTTTTTTTGGGCCCTCCAAAATACCGGGTCCTGTGAAATCGGGCTGGGCAGACAGGCCCAGGGCCGGCCCTGGCAATTTGAATACTCAATTGGAGAAGAGGAGAGAATCGGAGCAGTTCCACCAATTCCTGATGGGCATTTCACCGGAACTGTTTGCGTCGATTCGTTCTCAACTGTTGACCCAGACGCCATTGCCGTCTCTGAACCGGGCTTATCAGCAGGTCTGCCAAGAACAACGGGTCAGGGGTATGGGTCATGCTCGTGATGACAGGGAGGTGCTGGGCTTCGCGATTAACACAGCCAAGAAGACGGACAGATCTGGCGTCTTTGTGGCCACTGTAATCTTCCCGGCCATGAGATCTCTCGATGCTTCGAAATCGTTGGGTACCTGGAGTGGTGGGGGGTCCGACCCAGGTATGCTTCGAAAGGAGGCGGACGAGGCCATGGTTCCGTCGCACGCGGTGGCGCTGTTGCTGGTCGAGGTCGCGGAACTCATCGGGCACACGCTGCTGCGATGGATGGAGGGTCTTCCTCATCTCTCTCTGGCCGATTCGATTCTAACGAAGATAAGGCAGGGGGGCAGCGGGTCAAAATGAAAAGGGGAAGACCGTGTAATTCCGGGTTTTACCCATGAGCAGTGGAAATCATTTTAGCTTCATTTGGTAAAATTAATACATCGGGGCACGTTTGATTTTTTGTCCTGAATTATTGATATTGGGGCCTGAGGCCACTGCACAGGGTTCCAAAAATAGCAGGCCCATTTTTTTTTTAAAATTTAAATACTCCCTCCGTCCTTTAAAATTTTGTCATCTTTCTTTTTTGAGACGTTTTAAAAAACTTTGTCACTTTTTCTTGTAATCGATTATTTTGTGGTTTCTGTTATTTCTCTCTCCTCTGCACAAATTTCAAACACACAGTTTTTACTTTATTATTCTCCGTGCCGGTCAACTTTGTCAAAGTTTTAAGGGATGGAGGTAGTATATATATATATATATATATTCGGGTAGACCTGCTGTTCGAACGGCGGCGATTCAGCGTCTTTCGGGTTGAATTTTTTGATGAAATTTTAACAGCATATTCTTAAAATCTAGTTTATTCACGAAAAAATTAAGCTAAATATTCAATCGGGAAGGTCATTAAATAATTTTTTGAAGTTAACTTCGTTTTATATGTATATTCCGGCGCAGTTATCTTTCAAAAATCATATGACGGCCTTCCTGATTGAATTTTTAGCTGATTTTTTTTGTGGATAAACTAAACTTGATTAAGAAAATGCCATAAAAAATTCATCACAAAATTTCACCGGGAAGGGCCCCAAACGCAGCCGTTTATAATAGTTTAAATTATTAATAGGAGCCCATTTGCATTTTGAAACACCTTTATACACCGAACGACCCAACTCCAAATAAAAGCAAATAATACGTCTACACATTAGATCTATGCATTTTATTTAATAAAAGGCCTCATATGTGTGATTCGCACCAGGTCTCTTAACGTGTCAAGCTGGCCCTGATCGAGGCTATCATGTCATGGGAAATGTTTCTAAATTGCATAATATCACATAAATTGATCCATGTTCGGTAGGGCTTCTGGATGGTCAAAAAGTCAAAGCTACCAAATGGGGATCAGTTCATCTGACTGATACGTTGTGCTTATATAATGTGTTATTTGTTCCTAAATTAAGTTGCAACCTTATTTTTGTCTCACAACTGACAGAGGACCTTGACTGTTTTGTTCAATTCACATTTAATGTTTGTGTTATACAAGACCGACGCTCGAAGAGGCTGATTGGAGCGGGTGAAAGACATAATGGATTTTATTATTTTCGGGATATTGGTGGAACCCAAGTTTTTGGAGTGCACAAAGAAGGACACATGGATGTTTGGCATCGTCGACTAGGACATCCGTCTGAAACAATAGTGAAATGGCTGCCTGGTGTGAGTGGCTCTAAACATATTATTAGTCAACCATGTGATACCTGTTTTCGGGCTAAACATACCAGGGAATCCTTTCCTATTAGCAACAGTAAACCTACACACATTTTTGAGCTTATACATTGTGACTTGTGGGGTCCGTACAATACTCCAGCATTTTGTGGTGCCAGACATTTTTTGATCATTGTTGATGATTTTTCCTGTGTTGTTTGGGTTTACTTGCTAGTAGGTAAAACTGAGGTGTTTACTATGTTTATGTCCTTTTGTGTCATGGTAGATCGTCAATTCTCTCAAAAAATTCAAGTGGTGCGTAGTGCCAATGGCACTGAATTCAATTGTCTTCAAGATTTTTAGTGCCTCAGGTATTCTTTTTCAGACTTCATGTGTTGCAGCTCCTCAAGAAAATGGACGAGTGGAACGCAAGCATAGGCACATACTCAATGTTGCTCGAGCATTGAGATTTCAGGCGCACCTTCTGAACAAGTTTTGGGGTGAATGTGTACTTACCACAAATCATCTTATCAATTGTACCCCTTCTGCTATTCTTGAGCATAAAAGCCCATATGAAATTTTATTTGGAAATTGCCCAATTATGAGAAGTTGCGGGTATTCGGCTATTTATGTTTTGCACATAATCTTCGCTCAGCTCGGGACAAATTTATTAGTCGCAGTCGAAAATGTCTTTGTATTGGATACCCCAATGGCAAGAAAGGGTGGCGGGTTTATGACCTTGAAACTCGGGAATTTTTTGTTTCCCGCGATGTAAAATTTTTTAAGGATCAGTTTCCCTTTGCCACTAGGTCACTGGATATCTCTCCAGATGATCCCTCCAATGATCCGTCACCTCCGCCAGTCCTGGATACCTGGGAATACCCAACTGCTATTCACATGTCTCCTACCACCAAAATTCCTCATACGGTGTCTGCTTCCAAGCCTTCCACAGACAAACCACCTCATACGGTGAGCTATAGAGGAACCGTGTTCGTCAGACGATTTGGGTTGTGGAAAACGCATCCGGATTCCCTCAGTCAAATCAAAAGATTATGTTACACAGTGGTTCACAACAGTCCATTCCCCGCTCATCCTGCTCCTCTCTCCTCCTCAAGTACTCCGTTTCCTATAGCTCACTACATTAATTGTGATAACTTTTCTTCTCGCTATCGTCAGCTTTTGGCAGCTATCTCTGTTCATAAGGAACCTACTTCCTTTCGTGAAGCAGTCAAAGATGCTGGTTGACAGGCTGCCATGCATGATGAGATAAACGCACTTGAACAAAATCATACATGGACTCTTCAAACCCTTCCTCCCGGAAAATGGGCTTTGGGGTGCAGGTGGGTTTACAAGATTAAGTATCACTTCGATGGTTCAGTTGAACGTGTCAAAGCTCATTTGGTGATTTTTGGCAACTGCCAAATTACTGGGCTTGATTACACAGAGACATTTGCTCTCGTAGCCAAAATGGTTACTGTTCGAGCCTTCCTGGCCGGTGCTGCTTCTAAAAATTGGGAGCTTCACCAGATGGATGTCCATAACGCTTTCCTGCACGGGGATTTAGATGAGGAAGTCTATATGCAAATTCCTCCCGGGTATACTACTTTTGATCCTTTACTTGTGTGTCATTTGCATAAATCACTCTATGGCTTAAAACAAACCCCCCACTATTGGTTTACAAAATTAGTTGGGGCTCTTCGTGGCTATGGTTTTATTCAATCATATGGTGATTATTCTTTGTTCACTCAGACCCGAGGATCCGTTCAGCTAAATGTTCCGGTGTATGTTGATGACTTTATTATTTCTAGCAATGATCATGACGCCACTCTTTCTTTTGAAACATATCTTAGTACTTGTTTCCATATGAAAGATTTGGGAACACTTCGCTACTTTCTTGGTATTGAAGTAGCGCAAAGTCCCTCAGGCTTATTTCTTACCCAAAGAAAATATAATATTGATACTCTCACTGAAACTGGTCTTTTAGGGGCCAAACCAATGACTTTTCCTATTGATCAGAATCACTTGCTTGCAAATTTTGAGGGACCTATACTTTCTGATCTCGAGCCTTATCGTCGCTTACTTGGACGACTCATTTATCTGGTTGTTCTCGCCCCGATCTCGCTTACTCTATGCATATTCTATCTCAGTTCATGCAGTCTCCATGCCAGGCTCACTGGGGTGCCACTCTTCGCGTGGTCTGCTATCTTAAAGGTTCCCCTGGACAAGGGATCCTACTTCGGGCTGACAGTGATTTATCTTTAACTGGATGGTGTGATTCTGATTGGGCTGCTTGTCCTATCACACAACGTTCTCTATCAGGATGGCTAGTTTTTTTTTGGGACATTCATCCGTCTCCTGGAAGACTAAAAAGCAATCTACTGTGTCACAATCATTAGCTGAAGCTGAGTACCGTGCCATGGCTGCAGCCACATGTGAACTCAAATGGTTAAAGGCCTTACTTTTGAGCCTTGGAATTCAGCACCCCAAGGCTATTTCTCTCTTTTGTGACAGTCAGTCCGCCTTACACATTGTTCGTAATCCCGTCTTTCAAGAGCGCACAAAACATATTGAAGTGGATTATCATTTTGTCTGAGATGCTATCAAAGATGGACTTATTGCTCCTAGCTATGTCCTTACTACGGTTCAACTTGCTGATATTTTCACTAAAGCTCTTGGCAAGACTCGGTTCCATTATCTACTCCGCAAGTTGGGCATCCTTGATTCTCATGCTCCAACTTGAGGGGGGGGTATTATGCGGAGTACTCATTTAGGAACAACTATTATTTTTGGTCATGTCATTTATTTGCAATAATGTGAAATATTGCCTTTTCTTTTATTCATAGGCATAATGAAAATTTAGCAGCTCTAGGGAATCTCGGCTGTATACAACAGAATACAAAATCAATAATAAAGAATATTTTGCTCTCCATATTCTAGTTTCAAGCACATACAATAAATATTCAATAAAGAATATATTATGAAAAATTAATTAACACTACTCATTAGAATTTGCTAGTTATGTGTTGGTCCAAAATAGGACGCCCGTAGGCTTTTAGGAAAGCAACGTACAACACTCAAGCAGGAATTAGGAACGTAATACGAGAATGGAAAGTTGCAAAGGGAATTTGGTAGGCAGAAATAGCATATCTCATTTGAAATTCGGACTTGCCTTTTATAGGCGATTTACAAATAGTAACTGCCAAAGATACTAATGGCTAATTAATTAATACATAATTAAGTCACGCATTAATTGCTCTGGCCGTTACTGTTCCTTGCTAGCAGGCTGGACGCTTGAGCTCCCTCCTGCTGGACTGGACGGCAGGCTCCCTGCTGGGCTGGAGGTAGGCTTCTGGCTGGGCTGGAAGTAAGCTCCTGGCTAGGCTGGAAGGCAGGCTCCCCGCTGGGCTGGAGGCGGGCTCCTGGCTAGGCTGGAAGGCAAGCTCCTGGCCGGGCTAGAAGGCAAACTCCTGACCAGGCTGGAAGGCAGGCTCCCCGCTGGGCTGGACGACAGGCTCCCTACTGGACTGGAAGCAGGTTGCTGGCCGGGCAGGAAGGCAGGCCATCCTTGGCTTCCGCTCCTTGTTGGGCTTGATACGTTGGGCCGGCTCGAGCTTTGGATCGTTGGGCCTGGGCCTTGTGGTCCAAGTTCGGGGCCTGGGTCGATTAGGCTCTGGGCCTAGTCCTCTAACCCCGTCACGAGTCCACCACTCCCTTAGTCGAGTAGTAGACTCGACTAAGAGGGAGTAGTTCAAGTCAGCAAGCATCCTCACATTCCAGCAGTCACCTTTCTCCCAGACATCAAATCCATTTTTTATTTCCTTTCTTTCTTTTTCTTTTTTTTCATTTCTTTTCTTTCCTTTCCTTTTCTTTTCTTTCCTTTCCTTTCTTTTCTCTCTCCTGGAAACCTCTGCGTGCGTGCGTATGCTCCGGGTAGCCCCACCACCGTAGTTCTCCCGCCGACTGGGTTGACTGCCGTCCGCCGTGCGCCTCCTCCGTGCACCTCTGTTGCGCGGCTGTCCCGTGCCACCCACCGGTCTAAGCTTCTATGTTTGTCCGGCGTAACTCACAGGTATCGGCGGCCACCCCTGCCGGCCGTCGTTGCCCGGGAGGCTGGCGGTCAGGCGGCAAGATGGAGTCATCCCTCCCTCCGGTGTTCAGGTTGTCCGGCGAGCTGCCGCTGCACATCTCTTCCGTCGACCGGCGTCGCCCAATAAGCTGGCGGTCAGCCGACTAGGTGGCCTCCCAAGTCGGATAGCATGTGAACCCCCATGTTCGACCGATGCAAATTATAGGATCCGGTGCCTACCCTGCTGCCTGTTGGCGTCGTCAAGGGAGTTGGCTGCCAGGCCGCCCCTCCCCATGTTGGAGGAGTCGGCCGATGTCGCCCGGCCAGATTGTTATCGCTGCATGTTTCTTCCTTCTTTAATTTCCTATAGTGTTCCTTTATTTGTTGGGTTGGCGGAAGTACATGTGTACCTAGACTAGGCATCCCCTAGTTTTGATGGAGTAGAAGGCTGGAGTTGGGGTAGGCGCCCAGCTTTCCCCACGAGTTTGAAAGCAGTTTGTTGCAGGCTGCTGCATGGCACCCCACGTGAGCAGTTCTTCCGGTGCTCAGCTTCACCTTGGCCAGACAGTGTGGGTTGGGGGCTGGCGGCCGCCCCTCTGCCGGCAGGCGTTGCTCAGGAAGCCGGAACCTACCCACTAGGCGGCCAAGATAGGTGCTCCCTTTGTTGACGCACTCCATGTTAGCCTGCAGTTTGATGTTTTCCTATTTCTCTCTTTTTTTGTCTTGGACTGCTCATTGTTTCCAGGAAAAGATCTTTCACGAGCCTGACAAGGCAAAGGTCGTGGTGGCAGGCGGCAAGGCACTTACAGAGTTTCAGGTCTCGACTAGGTCTCCCTAGATAGGTTTCAAGAATCCTAATAATGAGAGTGCTCCACTTGAACTTGACGACCACCTATCGAGAGGAGACCGTCCATGGCGAGGACCGAGTTGAACTAGACCATTACACTTGATGGCGATGGGTCCTCCCACCCATGAAATTGTAATATTTCCTTTTTTTGAAGTTCAAAGTTGCAGATGTAACATTTGACTTGGTGATTAATTTTGAATTCATATGTTTCATTTCCTATACTTTGCATTATGAATACTTGACAATTTATTCGGGGATCTGGCTTCTCTAACCTCCCAGGGGGAGGTTAGGCTGGCGTGGCCGAGCCTATCCGTGCCCCTCCCGGTCGGATAAAAGTGATATGTTCGTTGTTGATATGGAACCAACAA